AATGTACTATATAAGTGTTTGTTCCGTAGGTATGGTATTCGTTTTATTATTTATCAATACCATCTTATCATTAATTGAGATTGATACCCAACATTACACCATAGTCAGACGCAATGCGCATAGCCATATGTTTTTTTTTTGTATGACCGTCGTCAGAAACGCTTTTTATAACAAAAAAATACCAGTGTTGCAAATTTTGTTATGGGGGGAGGGGTTGCAGCGCGAGTTCACCAGAACTGCATTAATAACATTCACATATTCACGGGCACTTTAGCATAATCCTTATTCTTTATATTTAGCATAGTACTGCGGTCAAACAGAATGCACCAACATCGCATCACTATCAGCTTTTAACATAATTGAGCTACTTTTCAAATCATCTATTTTCAACTGCAACTCGATTATATATGCCACGCTGTTTTAATATGTAGCTTAACTATTTCTCACGTCGCTTTATTCTAGGACTCAACCATTTTCAGCATCACATGGCTGAACGATTTCTTACATCACTTCCTCATAGGGCATAAGTGTTTTTACACGTCACCTCATAATGCAGCCGAACCATTTCCAACGATACTTTATCACAGGGCTGAATCGTTTCTCATATCACTCTACCATACAGTTATATATACATGCCCCTAATGTCTTCTCTTCCCCAGTTGCATTCTCCAAGAAAAAAGACTTTCCATCACACCGTCGCCCACTGCCCCCTGAGATAACGAGGCGTCGGTAAATATTGGCCCTCTAAATCCCCTTTCAGTGTCCAGTCATAGGCGTTTCAAACGGTCTTTCCCTCGTTTCCCCTCATGCTTTTAATTCGATAGGTGTCCTAGTCCTTCAGTGTCCTCTGGCTGCCTAGCTTATCTGTCTGTACAGTGTCGTGTAGATAGGTCTAGTTGTATGAGAAGTTAGTGTTGTTTTCTGATGAATTCCCTGCAGGACCCCGTGTATAATTTTCTTAAGCTGATCATATCCCACATTCAAAGAAGAAGAAGAAAAAAAAGTGTTGGGATACATTGCATTTGCTTTGTAGTCACGTATTGTTTTATGTGTTGTCTATAAGAAGCAAAATTTCCACTATAGTCTTTACCTAAACACATTTCCCCATTAGACTGCATCGCGCTTCATGTAATCAGCATAAAAAAAATCTTTCATTTCTCAACCTCGCCGCCGCCCATCGTTAGGTTGCATGTCCTTGTGAAGAGCTGTCCAATAGAGCTATATTCGCCCTGTCTTCTGTAATACACAGCATGCTAAACTTCAAACAAAGTATACACGTATCCCTCAGATTTACACTGGTCTGATCTATTTTTGTGTCTGCGGGGAGCAAGGTGAGAGAAAATAACTTTGTATCGCGTTTATATATATATGTATATGTGTGTGTGTGTGTGTGTGTGTGTGTGTGTGTGTGTGTGTGTGTGTGTGTGTGTGTGTGTGTGTTTGTATGTATGTATGTGTGTGTGTGTGTGTGTGTGTGTGTGTGTGTGTGTGCGTGTGCGTGTGCACGTGTGCTTGTATACACACACACATGCTGACATACAGACACACATTAAGGAAAATCCTTGTGACTGACCAAATACCTTCTAAAAGCAGTTGATAATTGTTGCACAAGAAATGTCGAAGACTATGATACCACTTTTGTTTCTAAATATAAAACCTCACACAAGTATGACACTCAGTGTATTCCCACCTTAAAACAAGCAAAGTGCTAAGACCACAATTTAAAGACATACCCTTAAGTGTTACGTGTCCTTCTTAACTTTTTTTTCTTGAATGCATGACGTGTCTGCATCATTTCTATTCCGTTTTGCATGATTTTTTTCTTGATTTTTTATTTTAGCCGGCACAGACAGTCCCACATACGCCCAACCGAGTGAGGAAGAATCAGCCGAGGAAAAAAAAACATTAGAAGACAACGTTTCAGAGGCGATTGAAGACGTCGTTTCCAAAGAGATCCAGAAGACGTCAGTAGCAGCCAGTGAAGCCCTAGTTAATCAAACAAACTCAGAAGATATTTCAAGAAACGAAGTATCTGTTGCAGGTAAATTGGCTTGCATCATGCATAATTGGGTTCATTGTGTCTTATCGGTAGTTTGGAGATAAAAGAAGAGGGGGAAATATGTCTACTTCGGTGTTTCCTCGTTCTTTCCTGAATGTCATGCTTGCACGACACAGTAAAAGCATGTCGGCTATTTCCGTATTATATAATAGAATGTATATGTAATGAAATTGTAATCATAATCATAAAATCTAAAACAAAAAAAAATCTATACTTGCTTCAATTTAATAGTTTAACCAATCAAAACCAACCCACAGTGCTGACATCAAGCTACAATGGATTCTAAAACAAATCTTTTTCTCATATTGTTTCAGAAAAAAACTGTGATCCACGATGACACAGCTGCGAATGAACTGAGTCCAAAGGATAGAAAGATGCAGCTGATGGCCCTCGTGACAGCAATCAGCTTGTCATCTTTTTTCTGATAATTTGCTATGAGGT